TTTTTTTTTTTTTGAAACGTCCCTATCAGTGTTAGTGGTGCTGATAAGAGCAGACACCACTAGCACCTGGGGAGTGGCTCCATCTATTGGTGGGGAGCATCACCTGCTGGAAAACGGGTCCAGCGTCCCTCGTACAAAATGAGTTTTGAGCTATCTATGAAAACAATCAAAAGAAATGAGGGAGGTTCCTGCGAGCATTGATTACCCTGGAGTCCAGGGGATTGACTGAGCAGGATAGAGGAAAGAGGGGGGAATCTCTTCACCTTGAGCCCGGCGCCAGATCTTGCTACTACATGCTAATTCCTCCCTTTCCCTCTCCCCCCTTTTTTAAGCATTTGCTTACTCTAGTATGAAATGAGCAGGGAAACTGACAAAGGCAATGATCATACCAATTTTAAGCACCTTCGTACCAATGAGTCTCGACTATTGAACTTGGAGACGGTGGGAAGGGATCAGGGAAATCTGAGAGAGGCCGCAACGGGATGGAGGGGTCAATCTTGGTCCAATTATGAAAGTGGAGATGGTAGTCTCTTTCAAACTTTTCGTTATTTCTTCCTCCCCCCCACTCCCCTCCCTCCCCCCTTTTCCACTGTGTATCTGCTATCCAACCCCCTTGTTCCCCTCCCAGCCAGTCCTTACAGAAAGATTGTATTTGCATTTTAATTTCTGTTCTGGAATGCATAAAAGTTATTTTTTCTTTATTTTTTCCCATTGCACTGTGAGCTCTACCTGGATCTGGTGTTTGATTGTCTGTATGACAGCTGGACCTTCAAGGCGGACTTCTTCCATCTCCCTGGTGCACCTTTTCCACCAGATTGCCCAAAGGACTGCTCTGCGTCCCATTGTGAACATATTTCTCTCAAAAGTACTTGCTTGTTCCGACTGCCAGGTTTCACACAAGATTGATTGCCAGTTCCACGGCCAAGGGGTTGTTGCGCCTAACAGGCGCCACACCCGGTCCCACCATCTCCATAACCAAACTGACCCAGGGCACTGTAGAAAAATGTGTTCAATTGTTTCTGGTCTCCGTCTGGCTGCAGCGTATCCTGGTGACATCTATCCACCAATCCTTTGCACGGGACGCACCTTGTCCGGATTCCATTTGGTGTCTCAGTTACCTCGACCTCCTGTCAGTCTTCTTCAACCATCATCTGCTCAGATTCTCCTTTCTTGTGGAGGAATTCCTTCCTCCTAGTACTCCATATCAAGATCTGTTTTCCTCCTGTGCCATCCTCTCCACCTGGCAAAACGGGGTCTGGATTGTTCCTTCTCCAACCCCAAATTTCCTACCTTCCACCGCTGATGGAGGTCCTGAAGGACGATGACCCACTTCTCTGGAATAGACTTGTGCAGTTGCTCTCTGTGTTCCTCTATTCTGCAGAGACCCCTCAGGCGCTCGTTCAACGTGTCCGCTGACTTCCAACTTCCTGTTTGTGTCAAACCTGGCACACTCCTCTCTGCAACCATTTCCGCCTGAAGTTCCCTAGCTTGTTGGCGACTGGGAAAGGGTGACTTGTATCATCAGTTATTTCGTAATATTTCCAGGTTTTCAAATAGACAAGTGGATAGATCTTTGTGCGGTCAGTGTAGGAGGACTATCATAGGGTGTACGGTAGGATATGGTTCCAAGATTTGAGAATAGTAGACCATGTGGGGGATTTGACTGCGGTGATCATGGGGTGCATGAGGAGTGACTTCCGTACTGCTTCTGGGTCCTGCAAGTGCCATTCTTCTGTCAGTAGAGCCTGTGCGAGTATGATCCATAGGTGGAGTTTTGTAGCGGTTAGCAGTGTCACTGACCACTTTGCCAGTAGTGCGTCGTTTTGTTTTTCTAGGTGCAGTATGCCCAGTCCACTGTCGGTGCGAATACCCTTACAAGGGTATCCGCCCTGGTTTTTACAAGTGACAGAAAATAGGTTGCATTTAGGGTTTGAGTGTACCGGGCGAGCTGCGGTAATGTCTGTCGTTTACATTGACTGGATGGTTGACTAGAGTAGAGAGTGCATGGGCGCGCAGACTTGAGGCGCGCGTGATTTTTTTATTGATGACTGAAGAGCCGGCGTGATCGCCGGTCAAACTTTTATTTATTTACTTCTGATTTAAATTAGGTTTAATTGATATGATAATTTTTGATTGGTACGTCTGACCAAGACAAGTGTGTGTGCATGGAGGACGGCGTCGACAACGACAGTGCGACTTTATGCAGTAAGCGGAGTATGCGAGGAATAGAAACGCGGACTAGGATTCCGCGTGTTTGATTGCGGGAGCTTTGGCCGGCGTGGAATGTCGACGACACGGTGCGGCCTGCAAAGGCCCAGGCTTGTGCGACGTCAAGGTTTTATTGCTGCCCTTATTATTATTTCTTTTTCGGTGTGTATTGTCCTCTTTGGGCTGGGCGCGACACCGGTTTTCAATGGGGCCGTCGGCAGGAGCACTAGTCAGGACCTTGAGATCGCGCCCCTTTTGACGGTACGGCCGGATCCCGACGTGTCTTGGAGGCGGGCGAAACTTTTCTGTTAGCGCTCGTCTCGAAACGCGGACCGAGGAGTTCAACGTGCATGCGAGCAGGTGGGTTAACCCGCGAGCCGGGAGAAAATCGGGTGGCGTGGGCCTTCCGCAGGGGCACCGTCCGCCACCCACGATCTGTTGTGAGAGGTTTGAGTGCGAGCATGCCCGATGGGACCCAAAGGAAAGGGGCTAACTGTGCCTAGGCGGGTCGGGCCCGGACACAAAAGAAGGAGCCACAGGCACGGACAGCCTGTGGATGTTGCGGGCTTCAAAATTCTTATTTTGGATGTTGCTATGCTACGAGCTTACAACAAGCCTGCGGCCTCGAGGCCAATACCTGCGTATGGACAGCCGATGGGGACCTGCAGAATGGTGGGTCTTGCCTGTGTCGGGTGGGCCCGAGCCGTTGGGGCGGAGGCCGCGGCCATACTCATATGCAGATCGTTTGCCGGTTTCGCTGCGGGGGAGAGTAGCAACGCTGCCCAGCACATCGTTCGTCGGGCTCAGGTATAGGAGCAAAAGAGTATCGATTCGAGTAGATTGCTTGGTTTCCTTCGAGTGTCCCCTCAGAACGGCTGGAGCTGTTGAACAACGTGCCGGGCTGCCATGGGACCGGGAACTGCGGCAGCAGCCTAGCGCAGTAGAACAGGAAGGTAGATAGGAGGGTGCAGACGCGGGAGGGGAGTTTGTTTTGTCGTTGTGGCCAAACGTTCGGACCGTAGAGCAAGCGTAGCGAACGTGGGGGCTGGTCGGGCGGCGCAGCGCAGAGCGGCAACTGGCCGATTGACGAGGAGCGAAGCACTAGGAGGCGAGTGAATCGGGACAGAGCTCGGGGCCAGGTGCATACGGAGGATGGCGGGGAGGAGATGACGAAGCCTGCCCGTTCCCTGATGAAATCGGGCGGGGAAAGAACCTACCCGGGGGTTATAGAGGCGGGCAACGTCGATTAGGAGGTTAGTTTTAGATAGTAGTGAGTAGATAGAAAGGTTAGTAGAGAAGAGGTGCCGGGGAGCTACGGTGGAAAAGGAGGAAGAGAAGGCAGTGGGGGGAGGAGACGAACCCGGACGGGGGTCGGTGCCGGGTGCATGCGACGAGCCGAGGTAGTGGTGCAGTGGAGCAACGGGCGCTGATAGGGACGAGGGAAAAATGAGGGAGAAAAAGATGAACGTGGGGGCAAAGTCGGGCCGGGTACGTTCGATAGTAGGAATGGCGGGTTGCTGAGTAAGCGCGGTCTAAAAAACGTAGCTCTCTCGTTCCTTAACGGAATCGAGAGGGGGAAGAGGCATTCCCGGGGTTTTTACCCCGGGCGAATCACATGGTAGTGTCAGTTTTAGTGTTAGTTGAGTAGAATTAGTGTTAGGAAGAGAAAGGACTGCGTGGGATATGGCGGGAGGAAGGAGGAGAGGAGTTGAAGATTACTTCACTTCGTCTTCTCTGGGTTGTTTTTGACAAACGAAGAGGCGATTCCGGGGTTTTGACCCCGGGCGACCGTCATGGTGAAGGTAGATTGGAGCGAGAGTGAGTGGGCTGGGTGCTGTCAGAGATAGGATGTGCGTGGACGATGGAAAAAGTAGAGATAGAAGGAGTAGAAAGTGGAGAATCATACTCGATTCTTAGCGACACTGGTCGAGGAAAGGAGTGACGATGGGGGTTTTAGATAAGGCGAGTCCGACTACGTAGTTAGTTTTAGAAGAAGGTTAGTAGATGTAGAGTTAGAAGAGAGGATGAACCTGGATGGCAGGCCCTGCCAGGTGCATTCGAAAGGGAAAGTGAATATGGCGGAGGTGAAGAGGGCGTAGGAGAACGATCGAATTCGCCCATTCGTTCTTGAACCCTACGAAGCGATCTGCGGGGTCAGAATCAAAGCTAAGTGTTTGGTTTAGGCAGGGTCGGAGGTAAGTACCTGGGTAAACGGCGAGCTACAGGGACAGTGTCTTCACACAGTCTAGCTGCTGCTGTCGACACGAACAGGGGCTATCGTGATTCGTAGGTGCGGGCGGTATGGACGGTTGTGCCTAGTTATGAAAGGCTATAGTTGTTATGGATTGTTGCGCAGGCTGCGGCCAGCCGCATCTGGGCCCGGACTAATACTACTATTGTCCGTTGCGGGCTGCGCACCGACTATTGCAGCGAACTGCTACAAAGTCGGTTGGTTGTGAATGGCTGCTGCTGGCTGCCCCGTACTGTGGGATGCTACAGGCTGTGGCAAGCGACTGCAGTTGACTACTGATATGTTTGCAGACTGTGTGCGGACCTTGGCAGTTGTTGGCAGCTGCCATTGCTGCTGACCGCCGCTGACCGCCGCTATGCACTACTGCTGCGTGCGGACTATTGTTGCTGGTTACTACGTGTTGCTGCATACCACGGCTGGACTGATTCAAGCTGCTGTGCAGCCACGGTTGGGTTGAGAAGAAGTGTTGAGGCTTGGGGAGGTGGCCAGGCGGGATGAGCAGGGGCTAGTGTTGCGATTTAGGAGGCCGTCAGGGGGTTGACCTCGACAGTTTGATTTCGAAGACCAAGCTGTCAGTTGGCCGCCATTGCGGGGCCCTCAGGCGCGTCAAGGCATCAAAGCCCTCTCCCGCGAGTCTGAGAGCACCCTCCTTGGATTTGAGAGTCTGAAACTCCCTCTGTCTGCCCTTCTTATTCTAAGTCTGGTCTGTTGGTTACGAGAGGAAGGCGGCAGGCGGGATTGCAACCCGTAGGTCCGCGTCAAGACTCTGTGGGGAGTCCACCCACCGATTGCGGTAGCCCTACCGATACTCAGGAGCAGTTCTAGAGGCAGGGAATCGTCAGGTAAACCATTTTCATCTGTACAACCTACTACCACTCATGCTTTGTTTATCCCTCTGTAGTATGACTGTTGTATGCATGAGGTTGTCCCTATGGTTTTTGCTTTCTCTTCAGGACCCAATCAGATTGAATGGAAAGAACGTGTGAGAGTGAAGCCTAAGTTTCTTCTTTATTTTGGTTAAAAGCAGACAAAGGGATAAACTGGGGGAAGGTGGGGAAAAGGCAGTCTTGCATGCGCTTGGAAGGGTCAACCAAAGCCTGAGCATTGTTTCCATGGTGAATGGCTCAGGGCTGTGTTTATTTGACTATTTTCTGGGGAACCAGGCATTGTTTCCATGGTGAATGGCCTGGTTGCTCTAGTTAACTTTAGGTGAATGGTCCAGCGTTAAGCCATATCATCAAGAAGAGAAATGAAAAAATTCAGAGTATAAATGAAAATTGTTTGGGCAAGCTGAACATTGTTTCCATGGCGAATGATTCAGTCCCCTGCCCATATTTGCTTTCCTTTTTTTAAAAACAAAGTCAGAGAAATACTAAATTTTGGATATTAAACGGCTCAGGGCGGCTAGGCATTGTTTCCATGGCGAATGGCCTAGTCATATGCCCAAAAGAAGAGAGAAGTAGTTGTGCAACTTGTTCGTGTATATCTTAAAGGCAAGTTGGGCATTGTTTCCATGGCGAATGGTCCAACTGTATGTCTTATGTAAGAGGAAATAAGGGTTCAAGGACTTAAAAAATTCATAAATTATCTACATGAAATTAACTTGGGATGGTGAGAGTACTTACATTCGTGGTTTGGTTTGTATGTGACTGAGTGAGATGGCTAGTTTGTTTGGATTTCAGTATTATAAGTAGTTGCTTTAGATACTCGCCATGTGATGAATCGATAGGAGTTAGTTCAATTCCTGCATTTTCTGTAGAAACTTTCTTTTACTTAGATCAATTCTTGCTTTTTCTGAGATTTTTTTTTTATACTTGGCTTTGTATAAATCTTTGCAAGTTACTTTCTCTACAGGAAGCGCTGCCGAAGTTTCTACAAATCCCAGGGAGTTAGTTGAATTTTGACTTGTCAAAAGTTCAACTTTGTCTCTTCTCTTATCCGACTTAGTTAAAATTTGGGAAGTCTCCCTTTCTAAAGGGAGTGCTGCCCAAACTTTTGCTAATTCAGAGAGTTAGACAAAATTGAACTTTGGGAATTCAAAGTTACTTTCAAATTCTGGACTTAGCCTTGTATAAATTTTGGAATAATACTTTTTTAGAGGGAGTGCTGCCGAAATTTCTACAAAATTAAGGAGTTAGTTAAATTCTGTCTAAAGTTGAGCTCGAACTGTCTTTCGAGTTCATATCTGACTTAGTATAAATTTTGAAAGTTTCCCTTTCTAAAGGGAGTGCTGCCCAAATTTCTGCTATTTCAGGAAGTTAGACATAATTTTGACTTTCCGGAGTTAGAAATTATTTCTGCTTTCATATCCGGACTTATATAAATTCTGGAAAAACATTTTTCCTACGGGAAGCGCTGCCGAAATTTTCTTGGTTTAAAAGAGATCGATTTTGTTTCGACAGGTGGAGATTTTGATAAGTCCACTTTGACTAAGGGAAGATTTTACCATATTGCTTAGAGGTAGGCTTTGACATAGTTAACTAGGATGATTTGGGTAAGATCACGGTATGGAGATTGTTCTCCATGAACTTATAGGTTTAGCCTGGGACATTGCCCTGTCATGTGTTACAGGTCCTCTTGATCGTCTGATTCAAGTTCAGGACTAGATTCAGCTTGATCCCTTGAGGATCATCTTCTATTATCACTGATAACATGTCGGTTGCCGACTCGTCGGTTTACGATTCAACTCCAATTCACTTCTGTCACTCAACCTAAAGGCTTTAGCCTTGTGATTGAACTGTTTTGTTGTGTTTTCACCCGGACTTTATTGAATGGGCCATCCAACAAAAGTACTGAGTATTTATTTAAGAGTTGCACGAGTGAGGCTTGTATGGCTAAAGCGAGGGGTATGAGTGTAAGGAATGGTTGAAGTTGACCTCGTGTAGTGCGTGGACTTCTGGATGAATCTTTGATGTGATTGCAGGTATGGTTGTGGCTCGGCTTCTGGATGTGACTGCTTGCGATTACATACATATATGGCTGAAAGGGGCCCCACTGTGACTCTGAGAAGTGATCGTCCTATATTAGCAACCCTCTATATATATGTGTGTATATATATGTCTCGAGTGTTTCGTGCGGCCTACTGGGACCACGTATAAGGGTTAAACAGATTATAGGTTTGAGAGAAAAGGGAGATCCCCTTTTATCCTTTGCTTCTTAGAGATTTTTATGGTTGGACGTTGTAGTCCGTGGCAACCGTCAAAGTCAAACCCCTTGACTTTTGCCCAGGCCTGGGGTAGGACTCATCCCCAGGGCCGCAAGAAACGATTGCCACCACAGGTGTGGACCTGTGTACCACCCGCTCTGCATAAGGTGCAGAAGAGGGTGTGTGGTCTTCAACCGCACTTGGCGGTTGTCCAACGTCGAGAGATTAACCCTCAAGGCGCGTGTCAGTCGACACTTGAGTGTCGAACGCGACCCTCAAGATTAACGAGGACCACATGAGTATGGGTACTACATAGTACGCCATCATTGCAATCGCTTGCGTACGCTTGCATTGCGAGTCGATATGAGTAGGCCCTGCGTCCGCGCGGTTTTATATTAAGTCTCGCGCGCGGCGCCTATCCGATTTCCGCATCAGAAAGTTATGGGATGGCTACCGAGGGGCTATGAGCGTTGTCGCGTTGTTTCGTGTTGTGTCGTTTCGTATGTGTGCGTGTGTGTGTTTTATTTTTGTGTTCGTAAAGTGGTGTGCGCGTGGTGTGTGGGATGCGTCCTAGTCGACCGACGACGAGCCGCGCTTGGGATTTTAGCCCCCCAAGATGTCGGTTCGCGTGAGGGTCTGATAGGCATATTACCACGCGTACCCCCTATGCTACAGCGAACAAGAAACGCCCTCGGCTGGTCCACCTCTGCAATTGCAACTGATTAGCTTTCGTACTGTGGACA